CAAAAATGGAATAATGAGAGAAACTCAAAACCACCACCGTATGGTGGTGGCTTCGGCCACCGTCCGCCTTGTCGAGTGGCGGTGTGCTTGCCTCGTTGAGTTTGATTCATTTGGGGTGCTTGAAACCCTAATGGGCCTTGTAAACCTTAATGGGCCCAATGAAGCCTAATGGGCTTAGTGAAAACCCTAATGGGTCCAATGGACCCTAACTGACCTAAGGAAAACCCTAATAGGCTTAAGGACCTAACTATTAGGCCTATTGGGCTAATATGGGTTGGAAACCCTAATTAGGGTGTGGAAAACCCTAAAGCCATAAAACCCTAATTTGGGACTTATCGGGACCGCATCGGAATTGTTTAATGAACTTAAAATAATATTTAATAATCATTGCAAATTAACCTAAGTCCATGTGGGACTTAATAGGTTAAGTCCTTAATGGGTTAAGTAGGAAAACTTAACCCTAATCGTCATTTTATGTGAAAACCCTAATTTCGCTTGGGTTTATTATTAGGCCTTTCAATTGGGCCTTGATGATTGGATTATTAATGGGTCATCCAAGAATAATTATATGGACTAAAATAATTTAATGGGCCTAGGGTAAGGCCCATGTAAGGGGTTTGGGCCTTAAATAAGACCATGTATAGGCAAATTGGGCCATATGTTCGGCTTTGATTCCTAGTTGACTTTGGGCCTAAGGATTGGGCCTTGGGCTTGAATAAGCTAAGCTTGGGGTAATGTAGTAATTATCCAAAGTATGTACTTATGGTTATGTGGTGGAACCCCATTATTAATTGGGTGTTATTTTGGTGTTGACGGTTCGGGAATTTGTCATCCAACAGCTGGGGTTGAGTCTACGAGACTTCAGTAGTGTGGGATTGAGTCTGCGGGACTTCAGCAGTGTAAGGTGAGTTACCTTCCAGTAGCAGTGGGTCTATGGCCACAATGCCGGCCCACCAGTAGGAGTTGTTGTTAGATGATTGTCTTTGTGATAATTGTCTATATTTGCTACTACCTGTTATTTTTATGTTCTAGCATGATATGATGTTATGTGATAGTGGTAGTAGGGATGAAATAGTCCCCGGTTACTGGTCGATAAGATCGAATGAGTAGATTAGTACCCAACTTTGCTAGATAGATTATGATATATGTGATATGATATTATGTGGTGGTAGTAGGGGTGAAATAGTCCCCGGTTACCGGTCGATAGGACCGAAGGGGTAGATTAGTACCCAGCTATGCTAGACAGATCATGATATATGTGATATGATATTATGTGGTAGTAGTAGGTGTGAAATAGTCCCCAGTTACCGATCGACAGGACTGAAGGGGTAGGCCAGCACCCAGATATGCTAGGCAATATGTGATTTATATGTTTATGCTATGCTTTTATGTGGTAGTGTTAGGGGGTGAAATAGTCCCCGGTTACCGGTTGAAAGATACCGAAGGGGAGGCAAGCTCCCAGTTATCAGTTGAAAGATACCGAAGGGGTAGGTCGGGCACCCAGATATGCCTGACATGAGGTAGGTTGGGCACCCCGGTATGCTTGATAGTGGGGTAGGTTGAGCACCCCGGTATGCTTAGCAGGGTAGGTCGGGCACCCAGATATGCCTAGCAATATGTGATTGTATGGTATGTGGTATGATAGGAGAACTCACTAAGCTTCGTGCTTACCGTTTTCAGTTTTGGTTTCAGTTACTTTGTTTTCAAGGAAAGGAGTCGACTCGATCGCAACGCATCACACTATGCTTTCAGCACATGAGATCTTTAGGATTACACTCTGATATTGTTTTATATTGACATTTTTTATTATTTACACTTTGGCTTTGGCATGAGATATTAATATGAATGTTTTATACTATTGGTTGTATATAATAACTTAATTAAAATGAAATTTTTGGTCTTGAATTTTGGGATGTTACAATCATAAAATAAAAACCAAGGTACCAAAGTAAAGTTGTGAATTGTTTGTAATATGGTCACAATTCTTGACCTTTTCTCTTGTTCTTTCTTAGATTAATGTGTCATCAAGAATCATACATAAATGTATATAATCAAGTAAAATACTTGAATGAAAATACTTGCCTTGTTTTGTTTACCCGACATGGGCTACATCTGTTGGGATATGAGATGAATGATAAAAAATCGAATATTAAAAAAATCAAAGTCCTTGAATATGATACTAAATTGCATGAACTAGATTATTATAGACTTATATAAGATTGATCAACTAATAGACTATATTGGCTAGATACATTTCATTTCAATATATGTTAAGAGTATGTACTCTTTTTTCTTATGGAAAGAAAATCCATAATTCCATTTGTCCAAAATTTCAAAAATCATTTTATGACCCTAAGTGCAGAAATAACAATGTACTTTGCTATTTCTTGCATTTAAGCTTCTTTTACCACGAATAAGTTGATGTAAGTTGTTATTTAATGCACTTAGGCCCTATTTTGGTTAAGATACAAGAAATAGCAGCATACTTTAATTTATTTGACTTGAAAAAAAACATAATTTACTCTTTTTACTACAAAAGTCATTTTATGTCCCTAAGTGCAAGAAATAGCAATGTACTCTGCCATTTCTTGCATTTAAGCTTCTTTTTCCAGAAATAAGTTTAAGTAATTTTTGTTTCATGCATTTAAGCCTTTTTTTATAGAATGCAAGACATAGCAGTATGCTTAATTGATTTGACATGAAAAAAGTGTAATTTACTCTTTTTACTACACAAGTCATTTTATATCCCCAAGTGTTTGATCGCAAGTCATCATATTAACGACTCGACATTGAGTACTTTCACTCGCTTACATCTCTACGTCTAGTGTTCCTAATACCAAGTTTTTAAATGACTCGTTAGTTTTGTGCTTCGAAATAGATTTTCCGAAAAGATTAGTTTAGAGGGAATTGTGTAAGACTTCAAAAACACAAAATGCTGATGAGTTCCACATTGATAAGTAATGTAAGGACGTTAAACACAATGGGTCTTCTATTGTTATTTGAAAGGATGTTGAATCATTTAACTTAGTTCCAAGTGAGTTGAAGTTACAAATATAAGCATTATATATAGTAAAGAGAATATATGGACGTATCAACACTTAAGTACTAATTTTTACAAATCATCTACATTGAGAATTGTCCTAGAAAAGTAGTCCATCAAATTTACAACAATAACTACATTTTCATCTTATGTTTACATGCTACAAAAGTATGAACTTTTCAAAATGTGCTACTTCACACAAGGTAAGAATAGGGCTAACTCTACCCTTTGCAAAACTATGCAAGAGCTTAGGGCCACCAATTCTAAAGGGCCTCCAATTTTAAAGCTTATTATGTTAATTATATATATATATATCTTAGATTACAAAGACAGGTTGGAGCTTGAACTGATGGTAAAAATGGTTGTTTATAAAACCAAGGGTCTCAAATTCGAAATTGTTTGTTTACTTGTAGTGAGTCCACTGGGAGCGATGGTCTTCATCAAGCCCTAATCGGAGGTCCAGATGAGGCGGCTAATGGTGGTGGCGATCGAGGTAAAAAAAGATGCAATATCCCCAAAAGACAACCGAAGGCAGAAAAGGAACAAAAACCCTAGAAACTACTGAGGTCTTTAGGCGGTGAAGTCATTAAAGTGAGTCGTTGGAGGTGGAGGCAAGAAGAAAAATCAGATGAAAAAATAGGGTGTAGGCAGTGATTCTTGGAAGAAGAGATGCCACCAATCGTAATGTCATTTGCTTACCGAGTCAGGGAGGCGGTGGAGGAGATAACAGAACAACATGTCCACACAGAATATAGAAAATATCAAAATATGACCCCAGAGTTATACCAACCCAAAACATCACATACGAGTATAAATAAAGAACCATTCTTGTCAAAAACAGCTTGAGGTCACTATTCCTAAGAAGTGTCCCTCTTTAATATATATATATATATATATATATATATATATATATAAAAGAATATGTGAAAAAGTTTTTATTTGGTTAAGGTTTTGGTGAGGTCAAAGATTGTTAACCTTGTATTTTCCTAACTTTTACTTACGTTGTGGCTGACTTTCTTCACAACATTGCTAGAGAGTAAATGGCTATGCATACCACGGAAGTGGGATAAAGACAATGGACAATGGCTGCAAAATCAACGTTCATATGAAAGCACCAGGCCTCAAAAAAGATTGTTTAAGGTAAAACCATGAACGGATTATATTTGTTAATTCTTATTATTGTGTCGAGTGGGAAAGTCTCCAAATTGACGAGATATAGATGATTAAATTAATTATATTGTTGTGTTGATATGTATGCTCACTTTATGCTATAATTCAGAAGCTGGTATAAATCAATTACTGAAGTTGATTGAAAAAAGGTCAATCTTATGTAGATAAACACAATCGATCTTCTATGGGCACTTGAAAGGACGTTGGATCATCTACGTTCGTTCCAAGTGAGTTGAAGTTACAAATGTAAGGATTATAGTATAGAGTATATATGGATGTATCATCTCTTAAGTACTACTCGACAAATAATCTACATTGACAATTGTCCTATAAAAATAGTCCATCAAATTTACAACAATCGCTACATTTTCATCTTATTTTTACATGCTACAAAGTATGAACTTTTTAGAATGTTTTATTTCACACAACGCGATAAGTGGCCACCCATGGTGTTGGTGGCAATTTTATTGATATCAAGGACTTAAAAACCCCTCTTTCAGATGACATTACCAAAAATCTAGCCCAAAATAAGACCATTAATAGGTCTGTTCAAGATAATTAAGATACATGCTAGAAAATAAGTTACAAAGAAAAATTAGATGAGAAACTATGTATGTCTAACCCTTTGCAAATCTACAATAAACACCATAATCTTCACATAAACCCAATCTTTGAAGCTATCATAAAAGTGAAAAAAAGCATGTCTCCCTCGACGATTGAGAAGTAAAGCCCCAATTGCTATCCAAAATCCAATAGCAAAACCAATTCCCCCACCAATATAAAACCATCCCTAACCTTCATCCATGTCTTCCTCATCACCCTCACTTTTACCATTGACTGATGTTGCTTCTGATTCTTCATCTCCTGTACATTTTTTGGTAGGACCGCATAAACCTGTGTTTCCATCGTATTTTGAAGAAGGAAAGGACTAGAGTTGAGTGGTTGTTGGGATTCTCCCTGACAAGTTATTATACGAAACATCTAGATGATTTAAAAAGCTCATACCAGACATGCTTAATGGCATCTCTCCTGACAAGTTGTTTCCAGATAAATCCAAAGTTTCAAGTTGTTTCATCTGGCCAATTGTCAGTGGAATCTCTCCTTGTAGAGCGTTATTTGATATGTTTAGGGAGATCAGTTGATAAAGATTGGTAATCTCATATGGGAAGGCCACATGTCCCAAATTTCCATAGGAATGGTGTCTGAAATGCCATTATTGGAAATATCAAGATACACAAGAGCTCATTTCCATATGGGTAAGATTTGTCACTGTTTGGATCTTGTAGGATGGTGGCCCTGCAAATTGGCTATGAGAAGCATCCAACCATTGTAATGGAAGGGATGTGCATCCAGACAAGTTGTTCAGAAAAACAGGAAATTCGATTATTGCAGAGTTGTTATTCAGATATAAATAGGTCAAATTACATAGGTTTGTATTGATGCATATATGAACTGCCCTTATGACTGTATATATAGCCTCAATTGTGAAGGTAGATAGCATAATTTGTTGCTCCATTTGTGTAGAGCATAGGATATTTCCCTTCCATGGAATTTGAAATTTTGAACTAAGCTATAAGACAAACTCATGATGAAGAGTTGAAATAAATTGTCCCAACCAAGGTGTAAGACAAACTAATGATGAAGAACTAAAATAAAAAGCCCCAAATCTGACGTTCAAAGACTCACAAGTCTTGGTAATTTTTATCTACTATGTATACGTTTTCCCATTATGTGATGTAAATCCCAATAAACAAACTAATTGAATCAGATATGTAGAATATCCGCCCATGATAATACTGTTCTGATATTAAACTGTGAATTTGTTTGAATGATAATAGTCCATTCCATATTAATATTTTGCAATCATCGATGGTTTCGATAGAACTCTCCGTGTCTAATATTCCTCTGTTTCAAGTAGTGCGCAAAATAAATAATAATAATAATAATACGAACTAAGTAGTACTTTTTTTAAAAAAAGGGCAGAATTCTTTTAATAAATGATTTTATCAGTAAGGTTTTTTTCCCATTAAGTGCTAAATTAACACCAAAACTATTTTAGAGAAAGCAATAGCAAAATCAGAATTTTGACCAGGAGTACAATTCTCTTACTATGCCCTCTACAAAGTCCGTATATATTTGTTTCTTGGGACGGAGATTTACAATGTAACAAAATGCAAATGAAAAATAGAATTGTTTCTTATTTAAAGGAATGAATAAATGACATCTTTACCTTTTTATCTAAAAGTAAAAATTCTTTCTTTAGATGTTTGATATAGATTTGTTTTTTACTACTTTTCTTTTAGAAGTTTTAATAAAATGTAACAATCTTATTTAAAAAAAATTACTTCTAAACTTTGTAAAAAAAAACATATAAATATCGTAAACAACATCTTAAAAAAGCTGATATGTAAATGTTGGAAACCAGTTATAACAAGCCATGGTGACCAATTATGAGCACCTTTTACAGTGGTTTACCTCTCAAGAAGACAAAATATTTAAATTAAATTGTATTTTGGATACATTGAAAATAATTGGTTAAACGTTTTGGTATTTAAACCAAACTATAAAAAGACAAATGGAAGTGCAATGCTATTAAAGGGTAGATTTTTCAAAGTGCAATGCCATGACACGAAAACAATTTAAAAATACAACATTGTAATAGAAAGAAACAGAAGTATGATGCTATAACAGAGAACTAAGAAATTGAAAGTAACATATTATAACAAACGTATAATATGAAAGTAGGATGTTATAATAGCGACATACTTGGGTACCATCTCTTCTCACTGCCAGAAATGCTAAACACAACATATCTACAGTGAATAAAGCATCAAGAAAATCAAGTTATTCAACCTCAAGCCCCAACCCGGATATATTAGCAATGATATAGAAGGGCAACAACTACAAATAAGTTCTAATAGTAGAAAACATATAAGTCGGTCTAATAGTTGAATTACTCGTATAATTGGCACTACTGTTATCAAGTAAAGTAGTAATCATCAGAAAACAAAACTACAAACATATCAACAAACTACTAAATTATATCTTCTTTTATATTGAAAGTCATGGAGTATAGTAATTAATCAGCAACACGTAAATATTTTTTATATCTATAACATGTAACCCATGATAATAACATACTTCCACCTCTTAAAAGATAATAGTAATATGTAACAAATAAAATACAACACAACAAAACAACAATAAACTCGCCTTAAAGCACAATATACATAAAATAGATTACAAACAACAAACAACAAACATACCATACCACTTTTACTTGACAATCTCTCCTTTCATAGCAACCGAAAGAGCAGCAAGATTTCCTTCTTTTTCCACAATCACTCCAGGCATAACCACACTTCGACTCCCCACAAAACCACCTTCTTTAACCTTAATCTTCCCAAATTTCACTTTACCCCCTTCGCCTTCATATATATGTCCAAACAACAAACTTTCTCTTCCCACAGATCCATACCTTTGGATACTCACCATCTCAGGGTTCAACACAGCACCCATCCCATCCACATAAACCCCTTCATCCCAAGCCACGTCAGACCCCATCAACTTCATCCATATCCCAAACATAAACGAACCACTTGTCATTTCCATGAAATACTCCCCAACCAATGTCTTTATCGCCTGCCATACTGTGTCCATATACACTCCTTTACTCCATATCATTACACTTTCCCTTTCTTTCTTCTTCCCCACAACAACCCATTTCATTACAACACAAATTAATCCAGATAAAACCCCGGAAATGACCCACAAAAACGGTAGCATCCAAAGTAATTGTTCACCATTTTTCCCTTTCAAGAAAAAAGTTATATTAAGCGGAGTGAAAATCATCAACCCCATTAGAAAGTAAGGGATGAAAACTTGAAGTATGGGTTGACCGGTCAACATCCATAAGTTCTTGTACCATGGTCTTCTGAGTGTCACTTTTTCAGCTTCTTTTTTTACCATCACATTTCCCATTGGACAATCGGTGAGATCAACTTTTACATCGGATTGATCCAAGAAGCTTCTCCAAGCTTCCGGAAGCGGTTTGTTATTGCGTAAATGTTGGCAGATCGAGTAAACAACCGATCTTCCATGATCCATGGAAGCACTCTGGGAGCATGACGTGGCACGGATGACATCAACTTCATGACATCTTAAAAATGGATTAAACTCCAATTTTTCAGATTCTTCTTTTGTGAGTATTTCTTCAATAGTTATCTCTCCGATTTCCATGTAAGGGTATTCCTTTTCGTCCCATGGCTTTGTACAATCAAGCACAAACTCACGTCCATTTTCGTCATTTGGCACTTCACGAAATTGAAATTGAAGAACATACCAGACTTTTTTAGAATTCACTCGACGAATAAAATCATCTTCTAGAAAAAGAAGCGGGCTTTTGTCATTTTCGTCTCGTGGGATTGCACCAGTTTCAGGAGGAAGTATGCCTGTGGGGTCCACTTTTCCGGAATCTTCATTTATTGTTTTATCAAAAGGTCTTAACTTAAACTTCACGTACATTTCCTTTCCATCTTTGAACCTAAACAACCTACAAATGTTGGAATAGTAATGGAGGTCGACATAGGAATCAGCTTTCCGAAGGGAATCCCACATTGCATCACGTATATGAGGAGCATGTTTCACATGCTCTTCACGTGCACGGACCCCACACACCAGCCATGTTGCAAAGTCAGCAATTGTACGCGCATGAAACGCTTTACCAGTCTTTAATGTCAAATCAAGAAGTGGAGAGTTTTCAGTATTTGAAAGTATTCTTATTGCTACACCACGTGGATCAAGTCTGGCATCGTCATCTGAGCTTAAGCAATTGCTATGCCGAAGAACAATGGAATAGCAAATTCCAGGGGAGAAAATTTTGTGGTCAGGGAATCCAGGGATGTTTTCATATAGCTTCAGAGTTCCTTTACCAGCTGCACCAATTCGATGAAAGTATCTTGATTTCACTTTAAGGGTGGCAGCAGCTAAGTTTGCAGCAAGATTTCCAAGGACTTTTTTGTACTTGTTGTCCATTTCTTCGATTCTGTCATCTAAAACATGAGTCATGTTTTTAACCATGATCGGAGTTTGAGATCCAACAAAAACACCACCTGTTTTGAGGACAAAATTCATGGGAGCAATTGAAAGGGCGCCAAGAATGACATTAGGCTCGATAATAGCTCCAGGTAGGACAACACCTTGGGACCCGATTACCGAATTCTCTTGTATCTTCACATGTCCATATACATACCCTTTTGAATTGTAAACCCCCGGGACAATCCGACTAAAATCGCCTAAATGGACACCATCACCGATTGACACAAACTCCGGAATTAGAATCGGGTTGATTGCTCTTATAGAGCAATGATGACCAATCTTTGCTCCTAAAAGACGAAGGTAAACACAAAATGCTTCTGTCCCAGAAAGGAATCTTGCAAACTTTAAATGGCAAGAAGTGGATAGAAGATTGCAAAACCACATGATGTAATGGTTTTTATGTTTTGGTTTTGAAAGGATATTAAGCAAGATGGAAGTAAGGAAAGTGAGAATGATGCCATGAAATAGGTATGCTATTGCAATAGTGAAGGAAAAAGATAAAGGGTTTGTGGGAATGTCTTTAAAGATGATGGCATATGCAAGAACATTAAAAGGAAGCCAGTGAACAGATGCACATAAGCAAAGAAAGCTGAAGTGTTGCAAAGATTGAGGCTTTTGAAGTACCTGAAGGTAGATTATGTAACAAACGGCTGCAGATAGAGAGCTTACAAAACCAACCATGTAAATGCCAAAAATGTGGTAAAAAGGCTCATGTTTAACCTTTTGTAAATTAATACCCTGCACTCGAAGTTCAAAAATTAAAGTTATTATTGTTAACTTATAAAAAATAAAAAAAAATAGATATGACATTAGTAGAACATACCTTTTCAAGTTTATGAACCTTGGAAACACTAAATTCATGTGCATCGCCTTTTAAAGTTCGCAAGGCAGGAACCTCAGCTCCATCTTTTACAATACTCCCTTTTTGAATCACAGCATACGAACCAACACATGAGTTTTCCCGAATTCTGATTGGTTGTAAACTTAACACACCATTTTTGACCTCATGGCTTTGAATCAAAGCTCCTTCTGCAATCACTGCTCCATCTTCAATGGTGACTAAATATGGGTCCGTGATATCAATGGTGTCAAGCAACACAGATGATCCAATCTTTGCTCCAAGAATCTTAAACCAGAGGTTGCAAAACACAGTACCTTTCAAATGCACAGCTAGATTTCTAGACACAGCATCTTGGGCTTTGTACAATGTCCACCATTTTACAAAGTTGATTGACCAAATGGATGTATCAGGGGTTTGACCATAGTTAGGTTGAAGAAATGAGTTCCCGAATAATGCGATAGTCAAACAAGAGGAAAGAATGTAGAACATCCAAATAAGAGGGGCAAAAGTTAAGGATATTAAGAAATTGAAAAACGTGGTTTTGTAGATTAAAAAGGTGAAAGAAGAAACCGAAAGGTAGATAGGAATTGTTAACAAGAACAAGAGGTATACAATACCAAAAAGATGCAATACCCAAATAACAAACTTATGAATAAAAGTTGGTTCTATTGATGTTTTCACAAAATATGTCTTCTTGTCAAGATTGGATGAAGGACTTGATGACTCAGCACAAGATTTTCTAACAAGATTTTCTGCAAAATCTGCCAGGTCATCAATGCAGGTAGCTGTGAAGATATCAATCGCCCCCACTGGAATCCCGAGAAAAGAAGAAAGCTTTTGAGCTGATCTAACAACTCCAATCGAATCAATCCCATAGCTTACAGGACTTTCTGTTTCCGATATGTTTCCAGTTTGAATTCCCGTTTGATCTGAAAGAAGTTTCTTCAAAAAGTTAACAATTTCTTTCTTAGATATAACAGAGACATCTTCTTTAATCACTTTTGGGGTAATTGACTGAATCAAAGATTGTTTCTGTGTGTAAACTTTGATTACTTGCAACTTCCCCTCAATAAAATATTTTAGACATTCAAACCTCTTGATCTTTCCTGATGTTGTCTTACAAATGCTTTTTTCTTTTATAAAAACAATCGAAGAAATTGTAATCCCATGTTCTTCTGCCACACAAGAATGAATGTGTTCCATTACCTCTTCATTTGGAACTATATTCCCTTTAACCTCTGAAATCACAACTAAACCCATGTCTGAATTTTCAGGTGTCATTACCCCTTTAGCTAATAATATCTCTTCGGGAACACCTACAACTGCACAACAACCAGGGCGTATAAACTCAGACGAGGACTCAACCGTCTTTTCAATATCTGAAGAGTATATATTCCTTCCAGAAACAATAATCAGATCCTTTATCCTCCCTGTGATGAATAACTTCCCATCAACAATCCTTCCTAAATCGCCACTCCGAATGTACATTTTCTCAAATTGCCCTTGAAGGTGGTTGCTGAAAGTCTTTTGGCTCAGCTCCTCCATTGCCCAATACCCAACACCTGCACTTAAACTACTCACCCAAATCTCCCCTTCTTTCCCATTTTCTTTATGTTCTTCACCTGTCTCAGGGTCAACTATTCTAATATCCATGTCAGCATCATTCGTTTTCACATACCCACAACAAATCCTTCCTTGCCAATCTTGAAAGATCGGTTCTCCATCTCCAAATGCACAACTAATGTAAACTGAGTTCTCAGCCATGCCATAACCAGGAGCCATCACTTCTTGAGAGAGCCCAAACCCCTGAGTCAACTCAATAAATCGTTTCAGGGTTTTGGATCTTATAGGTTCAGCAGCCACCATGAGAAAAACCATGGAAGAAAGATCAAGTTTCATGATCTTTTCCTTCTTGGACACCAATCTTCTTATCAAAAGCTCAAAAGCAAAATTAGGTCCAGCACTATGAGTAGCCCGAAACTTGCTCATGGTTTGCAGCCACAACAACGGGTTTTTTATAAAAGTTATAGGAGAAAAGAGTATACATGATCCACCACTCAGTGTACATGTTAGAATCCCACCAATAAGTCCCATGTCATGATACTGAGGTAACCAACTTACACCAACAATCTTTGAAGTACTCTTGTATACCTTACGCATCAACTTCACGTTATGAACAAGACCTCCATGTGTAATCATAACCCCTTTCGCATCTCCAGTTGACCCAGATGTGAACTGAAGAAAGCATAAATCTTTTGGAAGAATCTTACTTTCTTGCACTAATATATCATCATAGATGATGTCATCACCACCTTTGAAGTTCTTGATCCAAGAATCTGTATGTATCCATGGGAGGTTAGGCCAGGAAGGTAAGTTCTTTGTTTTCCTTGTTAACATAATCTTGTTTTTCGCAGAATTTGCTTTGACAAACACATGGTAGTTGAAAGTTGAAAGTATTGCAACTGCTTTTGTTCTTTTAGCAATATTTTCAATATGAAGAAGTGATTGGCCTCCTGTTTGTGATGGATCAGGGGGGATAGCAGGTACTGGTATGACTCTTGCTCTCAGGCAACCGAAAAAGGCATCAAGGAATTCTAGGCCAGGTATGTACACTAGAAGAACTCTATCTCCAGGGTTGATATTTGGCCTATTGTTTGTTAAAAGCTTGTGAGCGATGTGAGAAGCATTAGCATTTATTTCTTTATATGTTCTTCTATTTATTGTTTCTCCTTTATCGTTGATCCAGATGTAGAGTGTTTTATTTGCAATGCGTTCATGGTTTCCCCAATGTCTTAAATAGCCACCAATAGATGAAATATCTGGAAACTTTACACCTGGTTCTTCATCTAGTTGTTTGGCAATCCAAGAATGATAGTCTGATTTCATAGTAAATAATCTCTGCAAAAGGTTAGATTTCATTAACTAAAAGTTTTGATTTAAGGAGTTTAGTTAGTGATTAATGTCTTGAATTTTGTACCTTGATGTATGGGAATCTGGGTATTGGATTGTCACTTGCGAAATGCTTCATAACAAGAGAAAAGGCATAGGATGAATTTCTTTCTGTTAGCTCAAATGCCATTAGCCCTCCAACATAGAAAGTGTTCTTCTGACCTTGGAGTCGGTTTTCCAGTTTCTCATAAAACCCATCCTTCATTTCTAGATTAGATTCAACATGTTTAGTAAAATTTTCTTGGAAATGTAAAATGGAATCAGTTTTTTTAGCATACCTTGACTGTTGACATGAGGGAAGTACTTGAATCTTCTTTGTAAGATTACTTTCTCAACCTTGCCTCCAATACTTGTGGCTGCATCAACTACAAGCTGAGTAACTTTATGGCCTACAATATCGCTTGAATTACCATATGACCAAAATAGGAATATGTTCTTATCTGGGTAGAATCTTTGCATCGCAACAGGATTGCCTATTGTTTTAGGGTCCCCTATGAATTCCCCAAGGTAATAAAACCCAGCTGGAATATGCTCTAATCCATGTATCTTTAACACAGTAGTGTAGTAATCGATAGTCTCCACTTTATTAAATAATTCCATCTCAAAATCACTTAGATCCATAACCTCATTCACAGTTTCTTCTGTAACAAAGACCAAAATGATTAATCAAAGAAACCCAAGTTATTTGGAACTGGTACACACTGGCAACTTTACAAACCTGTTGCTTTTGAAGGTGATCTGTACGTCTTTCCACTGTGTAAATGAAACGAACCAGAGATAATGAGTTTATCGAATTCCATATGTTGCGTTTCACCATTGACAATTTTGGCTTTGATTTTAACGGTGTTACCATTACGATTGACTGATAATACTTGCGTATCGCAATGAATTTTTACGGGAAGTTGTTTACTTATTTTATCCCAAACGCTCATATACCCGCCTTTAAATCGCCTAGTCTTTCCCGCCATTGAAGTCCTTGTGAACTCATGAACATAAGCATAGGGCATATCCTGCACAAATCCGTAACCTGAAGCCGTGAATCCATAGGCAACAGATTCAGGCACTGATTCAATTCCGTTAGATTTGAGAAACGAAGGAGTTGGTTCTGAAGCAATATCGCTGACTGCGTGCACTCCGATTCGGCCTGTGGTGTTGGCTTCATCCTGAAGTTTTAAGGTTAGGGATATGATAGAGATGTAATCGTCTACGACTTTTGTGCTGACGTATTTTCCGGTGGAATCGATGACGGCGAACTTATGAGTGTCTAATTCCTCTGTTTCAGCTTCGATTTCTCTAGCAAGGTGGAAGATGGTTGGAGCACTATTTGCAGCTAGAACTTGACCTCCCAAATCATATATCCTCCCTGTTAAGATGGTTTAAGAAAAAATTTATACCCATTTCCCTAGTTCAAATTAACGAGAAAGTGAAAAAGAATTGAAATTTGTGGAAATGATAAGAAAATAAAAGAATGAAATCGAAAGATTAATTTCCCTCCTAGTTTTCCTTTAGATTTGGAAGTATTTGAAAAGAAATAACAAAATAATTAATCTTCCTTCCATTCGTCTCCAATTCAGGACCACAAAAGAAAATTTTGTTTTCATTTTACTTCTCTTCTGACTTTCTTCTCTTCTCTTCTTTTTATTTTGTTAAACTCGGGACCTAGGCGTAAGTCGGCTCAAAAAAATGATTGGGAATTGATGGAAAAAAAAGTGATCTTTATGAGTTTTTGATGAAAATAAATGGATTTTTTTTGGAAGGATAACTTTTCATTCGTTTTGAAAGGATTTCGAAAGAGAAAAATAAAATG